GTGCAAAGTAGTTGAGATATTGTAAGAAAACCGAAAATCGTTGATTTCTCGAAACTGCTCTGGACAAAAAAAAGGCGATTTGTCAGCTGACGGCAGTATGGAAGGAGCCAACGCCCTACGAATCCAAAAACAGGGAAATGTAACACAGAAGGGTGAGACAAGGAAACTTTTTTTTTTTTAGATTCAAACAATCACCATCCGCTTTATGCCAAGTTCGTGGCCTGCTGGGTCATCCCAGGCGGCAACATAATTATCTCTCCTTAGAATTACAATGTTGTATCTGACATTTTTGGCCGTTTTGAGTTACTAAGACCATCAGGTCATAAAGAAAATGCTGGCAAAATTGTAAAAAAAAATATTTTTGCAGTCTTTATCAAGATATTCCAAAAATAACATTAAAAAAAGCTGGACATATTGTAAAACTAAAAACAAATTGACGTCAAATTTCTTTAAATTAGATATTGAACAGAGAGGGGGCTTCCCCCAGATAAAGCAGTTTCATCGTATAGTGATAAATCCACTCGCCCCGGGACGATGAGTCGTCCGTTTAAGATAAAATATAATCGAACTATTGATAAAACACGGCCGAACATTAGGCGGGTGGTAGCAGCTGTGTGTCAATATGCATTGAAGTTGTTCCTTTATCAGTTTTCGTTATCTTATCAAGGACTGGCGCGAATGTCAGTTGTAAACTAACGCATTAATTGAGATAAATGAACTATTTATTTGTCCGACATGGTAGAACGGTTATTATCACATTATGGCAATAACCTTAGACACACTACGCACACTATCTAGAAACGATCACGCAACGTCAGGTTGTGTTATGGCTTGCACTTTGAGAAATGTCTCATTAGAACTGACTCATCCCCTACAAAAACTGTAGATCTATCTAGTTTTGAGGAATTGAAAAAGAAAACAACGACAACAAACAAACAAACAAACAAACAAACAAAACAACAACCGGATCCATACGAATCTATTCCAAAACAACAATCCTACCTATTTATACAGTTATGCAATATGTTATACAAATATAATATTGTAGACAATTGAAAAAAAAAATTGAAGTCGATAAAGTACATGTAGATGTTATTGAACGAAAATAACCCCCCAAAAATTAACTTCGTAACTGTCACATAAACGACCTCCTTTGACTAGTAGCTACTGCCGTGATCGTACCGCTGAGCGCGAGCTACAAACAGCTGGTGCGGCCTCTGAACCACAACGTTCTATCTGCTCAGTAACTAGTTTTGAGCAAATTTGAAGTCTAAGATTTTGAGGTTCACATCATGCCATCCTTTTTCGAATGCAATTCTTTAAATAATATATTGATAACGACTCCGTTAAATATTACGATTTTGATAGAGCAGATAGAACATTTGGTTTCTGATCCCTTGGTACATGTATTAGTAACTCATGACATTAATTTTTAAAATGTCATATGGTACATGTACTTTGTAATTCTGAGGTAGCGAGCTCCTATCTGTGAATGATTGGTCTAAGTGGACGTTTTGACAGTAGGATTGAAAAAATTGTGTGTGCGTGT